TTGCTCGGAAAACGGTGAAAAATTATTGGGTCTCCTGGTGAAACCTCTGAAAGCTACGTCCCACAGAAGGTTAGCATTGGGCAATGCCTAACCAACATAGAAGTGACAGCTTCATCGGATATACGAGGGGAGAATGTGACACCATAATTTCAAGGCCGTGTCTGAAATGGGAGTTAAAGAACACGCGTGATACTGAACCGCCCCTACACAGTTAGAAATAATGTTTAAAAAATATAACTCAGCACTCACTGCAGTGAGTGACAAAGAGCGCATTTTCTCGTCGACGAAAACGTGAAGTCACGGACGGACAGACAAATGGACGGACAGACGGACATGGCGAGCACGATAGTGCATTTTTACCATAAATAAGAAAATGCGCTAAAAATAGACAACCAAACCCCAGCACTTCAGTGGCTAACAATTGGTAGCAGACAATTATGAATTGGGTGCCTGGTTATGCCATTGATCCAAACACAATAATTTACCCTTGGAAAGGATTGAAACTTAATAAACAATTTAGGTAGAGCCTATTAAATTCCATGCGCTAAGAATTTTAGAATAACTTCCTAACTTCATGAGTCGTAAGTTTGAGAAAATTTTTGAAGTAAAAATATCATCTCTCAATATTATTTAATTAATTGGTGCATAATTCAATAGTATAGTCATGCAATTACCGTATAAACCACATATAGGTTTTTTTCCTATAGTAATGATGCTTGTAATGTAGTAACAACACCATCACGTTATGCTACATCATTATATATTTCCCTTTTAGTTCATCTCCAACCAATTCATGTGCACTCTAAAAACTTAAATTGTTAGCAGATTAATTTTCTTTTAATGTGGTCGCACACAAATGAAGTTCTTGTATCGCTTCTGCACGTTGATTCAAAATAATACTGAAGCTCGTACATTTTCCTCTTAACACTGAGCTAGAGTATGAATCATGGTGACATAAAATTCGGCGTCTAACCGCCGTAAAATTGGCATTGTAGGCATTTTTATGGCTAGGTCATTCGTTACACTGCAGGTAGATAGATATAAAGTATCATATTTGTTAGCAACATAAATCATGTTTACCTTTATTAAAAACATAACCATACTATCGAAGGAGGGCCCAGTTTGATTGAGTAAGATAAATTAATATTCCTTTGAAAGGTGACAAAACTGCAAATACAAATTACTTTATTGAGGATTTTCAATTTAATTTTAGAATATCTACTCGCTCAAACTCATATTTATAACAGCATTATGATTGAACTATATCATGCTGTAACTAATACACTAGTGGTTGTTATTGGAAAGAAAAGCAAATTCATTTTACGGATCAAGTTGTTCCTCAAGTCCAGCAACGACCTGAACGCAAAGCAGTCAAAGTTCAAAAAGCTTGCCGCGGTACAAAGGTGTCAACCTCTCTTGAACCAAGAGTTCAATGCTCAATCATTGAACTCAAGTCATTGCTCAAGAGTTCAATGCCCATCAATTAAGAGTTCAATGCTCAAAGCGGTAAAAGGGTTGTAGATTCCGATAGCGGTAATAGGGTTGAACCCGTCAACGACTCGTTCAAAACTCGACGCAGTACGAGGGTTCAAGTTTTATTTCAACCTTTCGTTCAAAGCTCGACGAGGTACAAGGGTTCAAGTTCTATTTCAACCTTTCGTTCAAAACTCGACGCGGTATAAGGGTTTAAGTTTTATTTCAACCTTTCGTTCAAAACTCGATGCGGTACAAGGGTTCAAGTTTTATTCCAACCTTTCGTTCAAAACTCGATGCGGTACAACGTTTCAAGTTCTATTTCAACCTTTCGTTCAAAACTCGATGCGGTACAACGTTTCAAGTTCTATTTCAACCTTTCGTTCAAAACTGGATGCAGTACAACGTTTCAAGTTCTATTTCAACCTTTCGTTCAAAACTCGATGCGGTATAAGGGTTCAAGTTTTATTTCAACCTTTCGTTCAAAGCTCGACGAGGTACAATCGTTCAATCTCCCTGTCAAGTGTTGGCTGTTGCCTGATATAAGCTGAGCCGCGGTCACGTTTGCCTGATACACACCGTTGGCATGTCGAACAGAAATTCCGCTATGGTTCTTCTATTGAATTTACTTGCTAGAGATACAGAGAGGTGCTAGACTCCCTGTAGGTGGGCTTTTTGCTTTCCAAATGAAAAAAAAAACATTTTCTTCTCTCAAGATGCAAAACTGACCCAAAAATAACTCAATTCGTATCTCATACAATGGCTATATTTTAACCCTGACACCGGAGAATAAATCTGATTTTAACTGCCAATCGTCAATGTAGAAAAATAATCTAATAAAAATAATCCCAAACTCAGTCGCGCGGTCCAGAAATCGATCGCGACAACAAATTAGATTCGTGTCAGTTTCCAGTGCGGGCGTCGGCGTCACAAAGAAACCTTACATTATCTGAACAAAAACTTGAAACAAAATATTATCTGAACATGTATATATTGTTGGGCGTATCGAGATGTATCGTATCGTATACGGTTGACCTGCTTCTTTCCTTTCTGGTCCTTCCGTTGCGCGACCTTCTCGCATATTTCATCCATGACATGTCATAAACTGATTTTCGAACAAAGGAAATCTAAGTAATCCATAACAATCACTGTCTGGACAAAAACGAGAGGTTTCTATAGCTTTTTCATCAGGTGAATATAATCGTGACTCGTGTAATGTTAAAGTCGTGTCTACATCCGACACAACAACGATGGATCTACCAAGAATATTTCACAACAATCCAGTGAATAGACTAGTGCAAGGTCAGTCTTGTTCGACAACATTAACAATAAATCAGGCAAATTTAGACTGTCTACGAAAAAAATTGGGTCCCTACATTAAATATGATTCAAATTACTTGCAATGATTCAACGCTACAAGATATTTTATAAACGTAACTTTGTTACATTCATTCGCAGAGATTAAAAGTATTGAGAATGAAGTTCCTTCACTCAGGAAAATCACTGCATTAATTTTTTTTTCTCCATTGCGACTTTTAATGTTACGGCTTAAGTCATGAGCGTCACTATAAAAACTCCAGAACGAAAATATATTCCGAAGTCATTCGTTGTCTGAATATTAATCGGAAAAATATAACAATACTTACTGCAGTGAGTGACTGAGAGCACATTTTCTCGTTGCCGAGTATCATGGATACTCGGCAACGAGAAGTCACAGACAGACAGACAGACGGACAGACAGACAGACGGACTCGGACGGACATGACGAGCAAAGTAGCGCCTTTTTCATAAGTGAGAAAATGCGCTTAAAAAACTAAAATTTCAGCTTAAAGACCACAGATAATTTCACTTAAATACGGCGTAGTTGAATTGAAAACAATTTGTTTTGTCAGATATAGTCAAGGCTGATATTAAAATTTAATTTAATATTCATAGAGACAAATAACATTTATCAGAGATATCTACTACGGTTAATTGGGTTCAGATTAATTAAAACTGACCAATGCCAGTCAGAAGTTACTCTGGATGCTCCACCTGATTAACTCGGTTCAGTGATTGAGTAAGCCTTATCATAAAGACTTCTAATTTTCCAAACATCCAAGTAAACTTTATGAAATGCTTTGCGATGCGACCTGCAAATAATTGTATATTCTCTAAATCTTTACGACTAAAAACATATATACGTATGAGGACAAAATTTTGAGATTATAATAGATAAGTTTGGTTGCTAAATCTTTTTATGTAAGTCTATAAATTTCAGACGACCTGATGTTTTTTTTTAAATACAGTTGTTCTTTTGTTTCTTTCACAGCGCGGTCGTGCTTCGTAGAAGGCATTAAATACACTGAAGGGGCAGAGGTGCCTTTCGTGAGCGATCAACAAACAACTCCTTTCACGTTTTCTACTTCCTCGAAAAATTATGAAACTCCGGCGATATCAACTCCTGACATGCCTACAAAGGCAGGATTCGTTGCGACCACAACCATTCGACCGGACTCGGTCTCTGCAGTTCATACGGGGAGGAAATTTACTTCAGGCTTATCAGCTTCAGGAAATGAAGAGCCTCATATAAAGTCGAAATTAGAAGAAAATTTATCGACAGATTTGAAGAATACTCCGTCATCGACTAATACGAAAGTCTACTCTCAATCATCAGTTACTCAATATTTTAATGAAAATTCTATGGATTCAACTAATGGAAAAAATGAAACGCATGCATTCATGTTGATAAAATTGAACGATCGAATCAAACGTGATGCAAGAATTAAAGAATTACCTGAACTTGAATCGGAAAAATTGCAACTGGAAAAACCAAGTTCGAAAAAACGGAATTCAGAACAACCTGTTTTTGACAATGAATACATTGAACACAGCCCGTCTGAAGGATACGAGCTCATAGACGGAAAGTGTCCGTCTTGTTTCTGTTTCGATGGCAGTGTCAAGTGTGAGGTTCAGTTATGTCCTAGTCCTGTAGGATGTAGGCCAGTTTGGGAAGGACAAGGTTGTTGTCCTGAAAGGTTTGACTGCGGAGGTAAGGAAATGAACTCTTTCCTCACTATTCCAAATTACAAAGATAATCCAGCGCTAATAAATAAATATTTTATTGCACGCTGGATGTACTTGCATTCTGGATTTACATTACATTTTCTTACAGTATAGTTGTCTTATATTTCTATTGTCATTAATAATGCTGAGTACTAAACATCATATTATGAAACAATTTAATTCCGTTTTATTTATTTAATTCTCCACATTTGTTTACAAAACATTTTTACAACTGCTGCTGGTGCTGCCCGGAGAATATTATCCTCATGAATCTAATAGAATGCGAAAAATCATCATTAATTCCATAGACTTTCTTCCAGCAAACGAGATAATTACACCAGATAATGTTTTCATTACTTGTGCGCTATATATTAGGTATTCCAATATTATTACTTAAAATATCTTCAAACAAAGTAGATTGTTAATTATCTACCTACTTGCATTCTTTTTTTACTTCTCTTAAACATTTTTTTTCCTCACAGGTATCTCCAGTGACAACAAACACACAGCGAAGGCCTTGCATGTAAGTGTAAATAAATAATAATTACTTAATTCTGTCATCGCTGATGTTCCTCGGATACAAGCAAATAGACTTTATGTCACAGCTCAAGTGTAAATTTAAATAAACGAAAATTATATGAAAAATGTTCTTAATTTAATCCATCGCAATTTTATGTTCCTCAGCTTAACGAACCATTATAACCAGACTACAATATCTTTTATGTAGTATAAATGCCATCAATACATTGTATGCTAGATAAATAATAAAAGTGATGTGGAATTCACTATTATTAGGGAAGTTATATTTTCAATTTTGATCATACATTCATATATGTAGTAATTACTTGCCGTTGAATTCGAATAGTACAAAAAGTATGAAGTCGGAAGTGAAACCGGCCATAATGCCCCATGTGATTTCAAAAATTTCAAGCATTTAGGATAACTGATAATTATTGAGAGCTAGTTTAACATGGTTGAGATTAAAAATAGTTATTTAAATTCTACGGCTCATTTGCTTTATCAGTCAGCAGCGCCGGATGAGGGGGCACTTGAACAAGCTGGTGAGGAGACCAAATCCCGTGACTTGACTGAAGATGATCAGCAACTGCAAGAGGAACAGTCGGACTTTCCCAAAGGTATGACTGACTTTCCCAAAGGTATGAATGATATTCCCAAAGGTATGACTGACTTTCCCAAAGGTATGACTGACTTTCCCAAAGGTATGACTGACTTCCCCAAAGGTATGACTGGCTCTCTTAAAAATATATGCATCAGGCATGTTAGTGTTTTTAATTGGAACCAATGCAGCGCAGTTAAAATTTTCAATCATGTAAAAGTAATTTTGATTACTCGTGTGCCCTGGCGTAAAATTCTGGCGTATTCTAAAAGTTCCTAAAATTCCTGGCGTAGTGTGAAATCATTTCGAAAAATCTTTTAACCCGGCAAACTTCTGCAACATTCACATCTGAATTAGATCGAAAATCGCGCCGCAAACAACCAGCGTTAGTGAAATGAGAAGATCAACTAATAATGATGCAAATTGTTCAAAATTTCAAATGCAATTGTAGTTAACAATAAATAAAAACGTTTTCAATTGAAAATCGATTATTTCTGGCTCAAGTGGAGAAAATTGTGGCTGTCATATCCCATGGCGTTCACATTTAAACAAAATTTGTATGGTTAGGCGGAAACCATTTCTTTATGCAAGTTTCATTGAAAACCAGGGAATATTTTTTATTGGTAGTTTTCTTGTTTGTCCTCTCAATGTGTCGAAAATATTTTTTTGCTGGCGTAGGCAGATTGAAAAGCAGGTTACCAACAAATATTTTAATAGAATGCGACATTTCGATTATGCAACATTCATTATCAATATAGTCCACAATACCAATGTTAGGGACATACCCTTTATTTGTACTAATGTCATTCATAAATTTAGATTTCAAGTGTTTCAAAACTCTTAACTTCTTCATAATTAATTATGTATATTCGAAATGTTACATTCTATTCATTCTATTAAAATGCCTTGTCTGTCCTTTCTGGCTAATATGGTTAGCATAATATTCTGGTTTTCTTTAAATTCTATTATTATAAATTCAATTCAAACAAAGTTTTCGTGTATTTTTCAGGTGCCACGTTGCTTGAAGACAAAGATCCATCTGACGAGGGCAACGAAGACGGGCGGGCAGATACCGACGAAGGCGCTGGCGAAGGAGTGAGTCGTCTAAGACCAAAGGCAAAAGGCGGCGCGTCTTCGTCTAGGATTAGGGCAATGCTGGAGCTGAAGCGAGCCCAACAAAAGGTGAATATTAAAAAATATAACTCAGTACTCACTGCAGTGAGTGACAGAGAGCGCATTTTCTAGTCGGCGAAAACTTGAGGTCACGGACGGACAGACGGACACACAGACAGACAGACAGACGGACATGGCGAGCACAATAGTGCATTTTTTCCATAAATGAGAAAATGCGCTAAAAAGAATTATTTGTTTTTTTTTAGTACAAAAATTCGACATAGAGGTTCTATAATATATTTTTCGATGATACTCGACTGCTTAACTTAACCCTGTCACGAGTAGACATAGAGATATGAAGAAATTCTAAATTTTGAAACCAGTCTAAAAATTATTCAATTATATGATGTATTTACTCCATGAATTTTCAAACTTTTTGAACATTGGAGGAGTGAATTGCAATTCAATACTCCATTAAATACGGTCACTATGCTTAAAAATTTTTCATATAATATAAATTCAAATATTTAATTGAAAAGGGAATTCTCTCGCCCAACCTAAATCAAATTTCAAAATGTTACTCTGATAGAGAGAATAGATATTACTTTTCCATCTCCTAGAAAATTGCGGAAAAAGCGCCAATTTCATTGTCTTAGTCAAACTTTCATTAAAACGATAATATTTCAATTCTTTGGCATGGCAGAAGAGGAATGTGAATGGAGGAATGTGAATGGAGAGAAGGAATGCATGTGAATGGAAGCTGATTAGACAATTTACTGTGTCGGGTCTTTTTCGGAAGGTCGCTTAAAGTGATCATAAATCGTAACTTTCCGGCTAAAAGGTTAAGATATATATATTTTAAGGCTGCATTATATCAATCGAAGACTAAGAATTGTAAAAAGACATGCTTGATTGTATTTTGAAATTGTTTATTATAGACTAGAGCGTAATAGCTACAAGTTTCTCAATTATATTAGTTAGTAATTATAATAGTATATTACATCAATTATACTAGTTTCTCGTCATTCAAAAAGTTTAGAATTTTTTTATTAAAATAAAGTTATTATTTATTCTTATGGAATGAGCCCCAAAAATTATCAATGTGTCAAATGTATCAATCAATAAGGTTTTATTTATTCTTATAGAATGAGCCCCAAAAATTATCAATGTGTCAAAGAAAAGTCTAATTAAACTTGAATTTATATCCAGGCTTCGAACCGGCAAACGGCAGCGGAGAGAGCCCAGGCTTATTATGCCCGCCACGGCATTCAAGGTCAGGGTGAACAAAAGGTGAGTTTCTAGTATTTTAGGCATCAAGATCAAGTTTGAATAAATTGTAGTTTAAGAAATACGTTCGCATAAAAATGGCGAATTTATCATTTTTTCGCTCTCAAAAGTTGTTTTACTTCAATTAAATTAATTAAATCAACAGATCCCTCAATTAAATTAACAATTAAACAATTAAATTAACAATTATAGTAACAATTAGATTAATAGATCCCTCAATTAAGTTACTATAAACATTTTAATTTTATGATTTTCATAGGCTCATAATTGCTTTCTTCTGTTTTTGGCTCCGATGAATTCAGCTTAATTGCACTAAAGGTATAACTGAGCAGCTGAACCGGTGCAAATGCATTGCATTTTCAAGAACGATGTAGTACTTCAAAATAACAAAATTTAAAAGTTATTTTTGACTCAAGCTGATAGATTTATATGCATTACTTTGATCCAAAAAAAATTGATAAGCACATATAAAATTGTATAACATTGGTACGTCAAAAGCCCAATTTCCAAACGAAATTGATTATTGACTGTAACAGGAGGAAGAAAAGCCCGTGACAAAGAGATACAAGCCTCGCATCAAGTCTCCTTCAAGTGTTCTAGAAGAACGAAGGCAGCTTCAGCAGCAGAAACAAGAAGCAGAGGAAAATACGAAGCGTGAGGAAGAAGGTAAAAAACAACCCAGTAATAAAGATTCTGCTATAACCTCTTACGCATCGTCCATCAATTCCTCAGATTCAAACGAGAGCCAAGGAAAAGTTAAAAGGCCGACCAACAACCGAGTGTTTAGCCTGCGACGTCCCTCATTCCCTAAAAAACGTGACGGCTTGAAAAAAGACGAACAAGAGGGTACATTGCAGCCCAAAAATGAGCCACAGGAAGAAGAACATGCAACGAATAAAAAGAAAAAGGAAAACCCAACAGATGATGATCCAGATCAACATCGGCAAACGGATCAACATGAGGAAGTTGATACTAGGCAGCTAACAAAAGATCCCGTACAATCAAAGGAAGATCAGCCACAAGATGAAGAACATTTACCGGAGAAAGCTCAGCCATCTGTGCAAGAAGATATAAAAATTATTATTGAATCAACTGATCCAAAATCCGACGTTGATTTGGAAACAAAAGAGAAGGCATCAATAGTTGAACACGAGCCTCTCAACCCAATTGTTGAAGGTGAAACGAGAGTAGATGACAAACCAATTGAATTGAATACCTCAAAACGAATTGTTGAAGAAGAAATTAAAATTGTTGACTCGCGAGTTGAATCTGACCCAATAATTGAAGAAAGCGATACGATCAGTTCTGGTTCCAATGATCGTCAGAGTGAACAAAAACAGCAAACCGATGATGCCAGGAAGAAAATACTAGAAAAGAGACAGCAAACGATCGCCCTCCGCCGCAAGCAAGAGTCCGAACAAAATGCAAACTCTAAAAGCGACCGAGTTCTTGAAGACAGCAAAAGTGCAGACGAAACTTCACCAGTTGAAGTAAGAGCAATTGCCTACATATATATTCTGAAATAAAATATTATTATTTTAAGGTGAATTTATGAAACTTGTAAAATGTCTATAATTAACTTCAGGAATACATGAAACGAAATATAATAAAAATATTGCCCTATTTTAAAAGTAAGAGTACACGAGTTCATTTATAATTCTCTTCAAAACACCATTTATTTTTATGTCATTTACATCAGATACAATAATATGAGATTGTTAAAAATAGTGAAACAACATGAATCATTCAGCAGACCAGATTATTAATTTAAATTTGGATAATTCAACACTAACTTCTGAGAAGTACTACAAGATTTGCCCATGAAATCCTTCCTATTAAAAGTACCGTGTTGTAAGTCCTCGTGATAAGAGAAAGAACATTTGACCCCTTGCTTTACCTGTCAATGAAGAAAAAATAGGTAGGGTTTCTGTAACAGTTGAGCAGATGATATGGGAGGCTTTCTTTTCCTGTTACATTAAAATTTGCATGTAACAGATTAATTAATGAATCATTCTGAGTGTGCATAAACTGTTCATTATTTCGGTATTCGGTAGTAATTTGGCAGCCTAATGCAGCCATCTTCCAAAAAAATATAACTCAGTACTCACTGCAGTGAGTGACAGAGAGCGCATTTTCTCGTCGACGAAAACGTGAAGTCACGGACGGACGGACGGTCATGCAGACAGACGGACGGACAGACAGACGGACATGACGAGCACAATAGGGCATTTTTTTCAATAAATGAGAAAATTCGCTAAAATGAAAAATGTGACAGTTTGTGTGTGCATCTACTTTTTTTACCGTATCAAATGAGAGATGGAAAAGTAAAACCGAAAATTTCCAACATGAATTTTTCTGATACGGAAATTTTTCTAGGAATTAGCTGAAGTTGAAGTTCGGGGTTCAGAGGCTTCTCCACCGTTGAGAATTGGCTTCAAGCGACCAACCATCAAGCGACCATCAATTGCATCCACAAATCAAGAGGTACAATTTAAATTTATTTTAGTTTAATTTTAAAACACTTTAGTCATGTTCAGCCTCATGCGCACTATTATATACCTTAAAGTGCAATTTCATATCAATGATTTATTTAATTTTCATATCGTATGATTTACGGCGCGTATGTTAATGCTATTGATAGAAATTTTAATGGAAATAATCATTATAATCAAGAAGACATAATTTAATTTTGAAAAACTTATTTTCTTAAAAACAGACAACAAAGCTAACTGAAGAAATTGAGGCTAGCGTGGCTCCAAAAATTACTGTGGACTCGAGAAGACAAAGGCCCTCGCTTTTCCGATTTAAATCGTCAGGGAAGGTGAGTGCAAAACCCCCAAATAATATATTTAAAAAACTGATATGAGTACATAACCTTTGTTTCCCCAATATGACAGTAAAAGATACGCAACATAGAGTCCCTTTAGCAGCAATTATCACATTTTAAATAAATAGAAATTAGTGTAGAAGAGATAAATAAATTTGTAATCATTTTCTTTCAGACCGGTGAACAGAGTCGCGCTTCTTCAAAGTACAAGAACTCAGGAAGATCTGATCGACCTATTCGAATAAACACTTCGCTACAAAAGAATGAAAGTCAATCCATGACTGAAATCCCAAGAACAACTTCCGTTGAAGAAATTAATACAATGAAAAGTTCTCTGGAACACCTTCAGTTCCTAGAAGAAAATCCGAATGAGAAATACAAATTTGAAGACTCTTTAATCGAAGAAGTGACGACAAGCCACCCGCAAGGTTCAACCACAGACGAAGAAGCAGTTGAAGATCAGGAAACTGGCGACGGACCTACTCCAGCGTCTGAAAATGTGCACAGCAGCACTTTAGTACATGGTTTCACTGACATTGCAAACACCAACGTAATGTCTGCTTTAGAAGCATTAATCAATGCCAAAAATAATGCTGAAAATGATGATTCGATCACTACCGCTGAACTTGAAGCAAAAGAAAATCCCACAACAACCGATTTCGATGGCTTTTCGACTGAACTACCAGCAATAAAAAACAACGAAGCTGGATACAACATGGAAGAATATGATAGACAGACAGAAACAGTTGCAAATGAAGAAAGTGCGACTACTACCTCAATATTCTACTCAACTTCTACTACGTCACGTCCTTTCAGAGACTCGTTATACAATCGAAGACCTGGAAATCGGCTTAAAGAAATTATGGAAAGGAGAACTGCATCCACTTCACCAGCCACCACACCATCAATTCCACCGTCAAGTAGTCCATTATCCACTATAATACCAGTGGATGAAATAATTGAAGGAAACGATTACGTTACTGGTGAATCTGATCAGTCGGTTACCGAGATTAAATCGGTCGACAACTCCGTTACATCAACACCGCCCACGTTGGAAATTAGGGAGTCCGACGAAGTTTCAGCTTCTCCGATTCCCGTTGATGCTCTCAATGTGATTACGGTAACCACGCATCCTATCGAGTATCGCTTAGCTTCAAGTGAAGGAGAAGGACATGATTCACTTTCAAGTCACGATACATTTGAAAATGATTCCCTAAATTTAGCTGATCAATTTGAACGAATGAACATAATTGGTCAAACCATAAGCCAGAAAACAAATCCTTCAGATGACAGTAACGTGCAAGATTATGGAATTTTAGGTGCCATCAAAAACGTAGTTGCAGCTACAATGGGAACGAGTCAGCCTGAATTTAAACCTTCAGACAATGCAACTCAAGCTGGAACGATAGACAAAGATCTGACGGACATATATGATGCGTCAAATGGCAATCCTGAGTTGGAGAATGAACCTTATTACTATTCTGACGACTACGAGACCGATGCCAGCACAACTATTTCACCAATTGTTGATATTAATGTCGATCGTCTCATGCAGTCCATAGTTCCGTTGATAAATAGTGAAAAAAATGAGACTAAACATTTGATCAACCCAGAATTGACGGTTTCCAATCTCGACGAAATTTCTGAAGGAATGAAAATTTTAAGGGATGGGTTTTACTATCCAGCATCACAAGAAGCATCGCAAACTTCTGTTTCGAAACAGCCCGAACATGCTTTCACCAAACCCGATTCCTCACAGAAAAAGATAAAAGATGCCACTGTGGTAGATTATCAGGTATCTACAGGACTATCGGTTAAAGATGCTTCAAAAGCTAGTGAAGTTACATTCGATCCAACAGATATTGCTATTAACCAAGTGAGAACTGATCGCAAGAATATATTAGATTCTAATGAGAACTCTGGCATTCAAGAGATGATCATAGAAAATGATGATCCCAATGGACCTCCGCTGACACTAATTGTTAGGCCAAATTCGGGCCGAATTGACGTTGGTGACCAAGATACTTTTGATATCAGCGTTTCCTCCTCCCTATATACTGAGCCTTCATCCTCAAAATCTGTGGTGACAAGAGGGCAAGTTTTGCCGGACGTTGTAGAAAATAATAACGGAGGCCACAATTCTGCGGAACCAATGAATAAAAATAGTGGTGGCGACACCAGAGCTCGTACTTCACCTTCTACGAGTTTGGTGGATGAAGGCACGGAGAACAACGAAAGGACGGCTGTGGGAATCGGTCAAGTTATCCCTGTTGATCTTAATCATGAAGATCCTGTAGAAAACGGACATAGTCAAGGTATTCACACCAAGGTAGAAGATAAATATTTAGAAGAAGTTACTGATGATAGAGATTTACCTGAAGTTATTCACGATGAAAAAGAAAATATTCCGGCAAATAAAGAAAAAGAGAGAGAAGGATTGCCTGTAAACGCTACGGAAGATAAGCGAACGGTTCCGCAGTCGGAAGAATCAGCCCCTTCGGTGCCGTCCTTTTTCGGTGCATTGTTGGACATCTTTACCCGACCTGAGAGACCAAGACCTGCAAGACCGGAGAGGCGAGACGACGTGTCTCTTAATGAGACCGAAAAAGAGCAGCTCAATGATCGAGAAGAAGGATCAAACTTTCCCCGAAGGCCAAGGCCCCCAGTGTTTAGGCCGCAAAAACCTAACCATCAGTACCGACCATTCAGACCTGATTTCCGACCACCTCCTCCCAACAGACTTCGTCCTGGGTTCCAAATTCCAGGAAACGATAGAGGACAATTTGGTCAACACGACGGTCGTCCTCTACGTCCTCCTGGTCTCCGACCGAGTCCGGATTATGATGGGCAACCATCATCATCATCATCACATATGATTCATAAAACTCATTTAGGGGTCAACGATCCTATGCAGCCACTTCCTAATGTACCAAACTTTGGAATGCTACCCCCTGCTCCTTTGGACGCATCAAACATCAGTTCTGAATCATTTGATAACTCACAAACCGAACAACCGGTTACCGAAGTTGTGCAAGAAGACACTAAATTCGCAGAAAATTTTGTTGAAAAATTTAAACCCAGTACATCTGAGCAAAGTTCAACACCACCAGCATCGAACCCAGAAGAAACAAACGGGGGATCAAAAGTTAATTCATCGATGCCACCTGTGATTGCCATTGATGGTTTTCTTGAAGATTTCATAAATCAGCTCGATACAGACAAAAATAAACAAATAGAAGCTATTAAAAAAGACTCCTTAGCACCCACAGATGCTGTTTCACCTCTCCCGACTAGTCATGTTGAAACTGACTCACCAAATGTGGTTGATCACATAAATTCTGAGAGAGGCCCCGACACTCCAAATGATGTCAACTCTGAAGATGTCAACCAACCTATCACTGAAAATCTATTATCCTTCGAAACCGAACTGCCTAACGTACAAGATGAAAGCAACATTATCGCTCCATCAGTATCTAATGCCTCTGAATACAGCCCCTCGGTCATCGAGTTTATACCTAAAACTGCCGTAGACTCTAAAGTAGAGACTCAAACTTTAATGCCGTCATCAACGACACTTCTAAACGGATCCGATACAAAGCCTTCTTCTGATGCAGATATAGAAGCTTTTGCTCCAAAAGTAGACAACAAAGCTTCATCTAGCCAGAATACTAATGCAACAACTACTTCAGACGTGGTAGAAAATATCGGCAATGAGCTACAATATGACGAGTATGATAGTGAGGGCTCGAGTGAATATTATGACTACGGTGATTACAATGACTCTTCTCAGAATTCAACAACCGAAGCTTCAATGGGTGAAAACCAAGGAGCCGCTTTTGAAAATACAACGACACATACTTCCCATAAAGAAGATTCTTCCGTTGTTCAACATGATTCAACTGGCGAAAATGGATCCCTAGATCAAAGTGGACATGCAGTTGATAGAAAACCAATCACTGACCAAATGCACGATTTTCACAGTGGAGTTCCAGTGCAAATGATTGGCGATGTCACTACTTCCATTGAAAGCCAAAATTTCCAACCGGATTCTAAGAACAATACCAGTCCACCACCCCATCTGCATGAAGTCTCTGACGGCAGTTTTGTCGGTTCCAAATTTTCCGATACTGATGATCGCGAAGAACCGAAGCTCACTGTAGTTCTTCCAGGTTCCAGACCTGTTGTACCCTTCGTTCGGCCATCGCCTCACAAGAAACAACCTACAAAGTTTAGCCTGGCCAATCGACTCAATAAAGATAAATTTTCTGATGTTATTTCCCCACCCTTAATCGAAACAGGATTCCAAGCTTTGAAGCCAGATTCGGAAACTGAAGACTTGCACGAAAGTGATGATGAAACTCATACCAGGCCTACAGGACAAGACTCTGAATTACCACCATCTCTACCCAATTTGCAGTGAGTAGAAAAGTACGATATGCTTTTACACAAACTAATCCAAAATGGATCCAAGCGACTTTGAGCTGTATAAATCGAATAACTTCCAGGCCATTCAGTAAGACTCGGATTTGAGAATCACGGAACACAACCCCTTAAAACCAGGGAACAATAAGTTCTTGCAAATATCCTCACATTAGTCATTTTCCACTTCGTAATTCTACCCAAAGTGATTTCTTTCTTTATTTTATATTGCTGTAACAGAAATAACTCCATCTCCAGAATCATCCCATTTGTCGCGGCGGATGCTGTTAAAAAAGCTGAAGACAATGTTGCTGATGAGTCATCTCCACTCGGTGCAGGGTCTGATTTTACAGATCCGTCTGGTTAGTGAACACAAATGAAATGTAATGTTATTTCTTATTATTATTATTATTATTATTATTATTATTATTATTATTATTATTATAATTATTATTATTATGTTATGCTATTGTTGCGATGTGTGAATTTCATCATAGCTACTCCGATTAGATCGCTAAAATATATTATTCACGAATATAGATTTTTTGAGTATATGAATGGAGCTGATTACTTTAATGCATTAAATTTATAAGCATCATAATATTATTTTCAATTGTCTAATAAAAATGCATTTGTGCTATTAATATACCATAAAAAGATAAACATCTTTTTGCAGGTGTCATTCTTATTGATTGTGCAGCACGGAACTTTGAAAATACCTGCAGATAATCATTTTAATATAAATAATTTTTTTTCTTTTCCAGCTGCATCGATTCCAGGCCAGCATGGTAAGTTCTCAGGCACAGTGGCGTCATTATAGGCCTATTTTAAGGGGGTCTCCATTCCCATAAAATTTTATTAAGATCCCTTATATAATTCATGTTTACTTATTAGGACTGTAATCAGAAAAAAGCATGCAGACTAATTCAATATAATGTGTCCTGAGAATAATTTGAAATATATACGAATTCAGTCAGTCGTTATTACCTAAAATATTATTACAAACCTTAGGGTTTAGCCAAAGGTAGAAACAAATATAAAGATTTCGACAACTGCAATATATTTTTAATTTTTGTTTGCATTCAATGCACATGATATATTCACAAATTCCTAATTAGAGTTCAGAGTCACCGTTCAAAAATTCGACAACTACAATAAAATTGTTGAAGGCCATTTTATGAACTTTTTTATCTACCAGAATCCAGTAGTTTTCCAGTTGATTTAGTCACTTTTTCCAGTTGTTTCGGTAGTTGCTAGTTCTGGAAAATTCCATTTTAAATCAACAGCATGAAAATTCCGTTTTAAAAAATTACTACTAAAGTGCTCAATTTTTATTTCCGTTAGTTTTATTTACATTTTATGCACCAAAGTTTCTCGACCATCTGTAAACTTCAATTGCAATACTTGTTTATTCATATTCCACAACCTTGGGCCCTCTATCTCGTTGAATTCTTTTCTATACGCGTTACCATAATATTAATCTATTGATCGTTTTATCAATCATTTCCATAAAATGGTTAGATACAAAAATGTCAATCATTTTATAAAAAATTAGTTTTTGATGCGATAAAATTTCATTCAAATGCACTTTTTTCGTCATAAAGAGCTTTGCCGGAGTGGAGGCCAGCTACTCGGTGAAGGAATAGCCGTGAATTTCACGGGCGACCCTTGGTTAGAAATGGTCAGAAACAAAAATAAGTCAAACTTTTTGTAAAAAAATTGGTTTTTGATGTGATAAAATTTCATTCAAATGCATTTTTTCATCATAAAGAGCTTTGTTGGAGCGGAGGCCAGCTACTCGGTGAAGGAATAGCCGTGAATTTTACGGACGACCCTTGCCAGTCATGCCGGTGCTACTTCGGCCAACTCATTTGCCGCACGCAGGAGTGCCAAGAAGTGCCTAGCCTGTGTAGAGCTGTCGACCAGCCTGGAGAATGTTGCCCGCTAATCGTCTGTGGTGGGTGTCGTTTTTCTTAATAAAAAATACTTGCTGTATCAAGCCAGAAGTAATATATTATTTTATAAACACTGGTGTTGTTTATAAATAAATTATGGGCGTATCTTACTAAAGATATGAATCATTTTATATATTAATGAATATAATCAATAATTTTATTGCTTCTAGGATATAATCAGCATAGGATACTTAATTCTAATCATGAAATGTACAAGGGGACTTTCAGATCATTTGAGTGATTGATGCCCATGGAACTCCGAAAGCTAAACTTACGAGCAGAAATAAATTCAAACGAAATTACGCATAAATATGAGTTGCAAATGATTTTTTAATTTCTAAACATTCTAATCATTCATTTTCTTAACATTTATTTTCTAAACATTTATATTCTAAAAATTTAGATAAAAAAATTTCCGGGATAGCCGACAACATATTTTGAATTTCCTTTTACGCAGTTTTTAGCAACAAAAAAAAACTTTATCTATTACCAAAATAGAACCACTTTTCTGTGCCATTACAGAGCACGAACTCAGAGCAGAGGAACCGATCCCAACTGATGAAATTATCGATTCATCGTACGACGACTATCCGGATCACCCAACCGACTACGCCGAAGAATCCGACGATACTCGAAAACGTATTTCAGAAGCTGAAGTTGACCGCATTTCAAGTGCTGGAATAAGATCTCCTGAGGCTAAACAACCTCCTGCTTTACCTTCTAAACCCACACTTTCTGATGGGTTAATGCCACCAAAGCCTTTAGTAAGCAGCGACGAGAAACCACGACCGCTAGTGCCAAGCCGACTCTTGACGATCAAAACTCCAATTTCAAGGCATCCTTCATCCATTGATAGATCTGATTTGCCTCCTATTCGCCGCAAACCATCTGTTGTTGGAACAAGACCAACTTTGCCTTTCATCCAACGTAATCGCCCTGGAGAAAGGCCGACATTTTTGCCTCCACGAAAATCTTCTCTCGACCTTTCTTCGCCAACGAAACTTCTTCAGGCAGCCACAGAATCAGCAGTTTCCGAATCCACAACAGAACCATCTAGATTAATCACAACCTATCGGCCTCTAAGCCTACAAAATGTTGTTTCCACAACTGCTGTCATCAAAGATTCCCCTCCAGTTTCTTCAGATTTTGCTTCGTTCTTGGAGAAAGTTAGCGGTGGTGGGAGCTTCAACCCAGACTTCTTGCTACCCAAACCCATCCAACCTACCACACCCCTTGAGTCTGGAGAGATAGAGAACATTCTGCTTCGAAACAACCTTCAATATGCTGATGTAAGTATCTAGGTAGTTCCGTATTAACTAATATAATTTACTTAATCATTATGAAAATGATACAATCATGAGAATTGAAAAGTTGAGAAACTTGAATCACATTGTCCCTCCACGACATTTCAAGAAAATATTCATGCATCAGACCATCCGTAAATAACTCAACTCCACTACTTATCGATTCTTATTTTTCTTTCCACTATATACATACTTAGCGATTCTTATGTTTCGTTACGCCCCTGCGGAATGTTTTATCACATCAATTTGAGAGGACATTGAAGTTTCATTTGTTTTTCTTTTTAGGTTCGTTAGATCCATCTCGTATAATGTCCCATCTCGCCTTTGTTTTACTCAAAAATGCGACAACAAAATATTTTAAACCTCATTAACCCTTCGAGTTCTTGAGGTTTATCAGTGCAGTTTACTTTGATATCGATTCAAAACGTGTGAGGAAAATTTATTCTTTTCTATTGGCAAAGATAAAAAGTTGAAATTAACTATCAGTGTCAGTGCTACCATTGCATCTCAATATTTTTACGGACACAAGTAATTTCATGCTTAGCGAAACCCTAGGATGAATAAAATATACAAATTAGTATTATAATATCATCTGAACTCATTTGGCTTCAAGTTTGCATCCCACATTTGTTATCTTAAATTCGTGATTTAAAATCAACTAGAACGAAAAAAAATCATTTAGAGATCTTTAAACTCATAAAATTTTTTCTTCAGAATTCTCGAGATGCCACCAAGCCTAGGACGACGGCCAAGCCGATCTTGCCCGACATCCCTGACGAGGTCAAGTCCCAATTACCCCTGGGCATCGATGCCATCCTGGCCTCTGGTGAGTCTGGACTTAGTATATACAATGCTTTCAAGCTCTCTATTATTATGGCCAGCTATATCACTGTTAGAAAAACGGTGAAAAAACGGTCCCACTGGCGTTCTAGTGGCCGGTCGCCCCGTGAAAATAAACTGTTTCGCCGTTTTTATCAGGTGTTTTACGGATTTCTAGTGTTAAATTAGAATAAAAACGGCGACACGGTGTTTATTTTCACGTGCCGACCGACCACTGAAACGCCGGTATAATACCGTTAACGGTAATTTTTCTAACATTGTAAATGTTGGGAATGCCGGCTACATGTTGGGAATGTAAACGGCTAATTTAAATAAGGAATAACTCAAACCCAGAAGAAAATCTTCCAACTGAAATAATCGTATGAAAGATAAGAATTTTCTACTGCTTCATCATCGCCAATTACTTCGGCTTGAATGTACTGTCAAACTTATCATCAGACAACGAGCTGGCTATCACCATGACGTTTAAATTTGCTTGACCATTTCCTTATAAATTCTACATGTGCTTCAATAAATTGAAGTCTTATCTCCGATAAATTTATAAATCATTATTTAATTTGGCTAAGGACATTTTGAAAATGAGAAATTTTTGGGGGACCCACTTGTAAGTCGATGTACTAATGTTGTCACCAAATTCAATGGGATTCTATACATTTTAAAATATAACCTCTTTAGTTTTTTAATTTAAGTTTTCCAATTTAAGAATGAAAATAATGTTTTCTTGTCAACAGGGGCATTCCAGCTGTCCGGCTGTAATATTTACGGCAGGGAGTACGTGGTCGGGGACAGCATCAGCGAACTGTCAGCTCCTTGCAAGGCGTGTCGGTGCACTCCAGTCGGCGTCCAGTGCCTCCCTATCTGTTAAAACCTCATTTAAAAACATGCTTCATTTTCCTTGCGTCTTGAAATAAGAAAATTAGGTTCATGAACCATAAACTTCATAAACCTAAATGTTATTTACCTCATGAGCTTGTTGCTGAAAACTTTATTGAATTAGCAATCAGATATCCATGTTGTGCGCAGGCCTGTTAAAAACAAAAAATGAAATTTGCCCCTTGTCTTCTCATGGGTGACTCTTCCTCCAAAGCCTTTGTTTATAAGTATCAACCATGTTGCTATCGGTAAAATTTATGTAATATTTTTACAACAGTTCAAAGTTTTGAAATGTAATCTCATTTGTTGAATGTTAACGATGTGATATGATGCAGTGCCTTAAATCTTGACAATACCAACGGTGTTGCACAATCTGTATCTGTTGACGGTACATTCGGTATTATCTTAGATCCATTATCTGATACCCCTTATCTTCATAGTGCAACAAGCGAGCCAGTTGGTTAGATTTTGTGGTTTCTAAACCAAAACGACTGAATATACATTTTTCTAAAAAATAATTATAAATCAGCACAATGTTTGTCACGCTCTCCAAAATTCAGTAGCTTTTGAGTGCTCTTAACTTATTTCTAAGAAATGTGGAATGTATCCCAATAGTGTTCTATGTAAATAATTTAAACGTATATTTAAGTCTTTAAAATTAAGTTTGTGCATAAATAGGTGATACGGGAAATCAAGAATCACCTGTATGCGCAAGGGCATTAATATGTAAATAGATACATCAATATTTTCTTCTTTATTGGCTGTTTTTAATGGTCTATGTAAATTTCCATTTCACATCAGACCGTCAATTATTTCAGTTACTGCACTTTAATAGTATGTAATAAAAGTCAACTTTGTGTAATTAAGCATTGGCTTAATTTGTAATCTTATTTGGTCCATTTTCATACGTTGAAATTTTTTCAGACGTTGAAATAAATAAAGTCTCATCAGTACAGACGCTTACTTTACATAAATTGTAATGAAAATAATGTTAAAACTTTTTTTTAAATTCATCTTTGTCTAATGAGTAGACCCCACAGGTTTTGGAGCATGTATTTCAAGGATAAATTTCTATAACATTTCAAAGCTTCAAATTAATATATTATACTTAGCACTTCCAGGCCACTTCAAGGCAGTTCAAACTTTCAAATTTTATTGAAAATTATTCAAGAATCTTGGAACTTATAACAAGAATATTTCTTAAACATTTATATTATTATTGATTTTGTGATGAGCTTACAAATCGTCATGTTATTCATTAAATGTTTCAAAGCTTCATGGAAAGATTTTAGTTTAACATATTGATTTGATAACTCTGCGGATTTGGAAAAAGTATATATCGTTCAGAAAATGCTTAGAATTTAAGAAAATTCTACATTTCCCTCGTACATTTATGTGTTCAACAAATAAAAGTGTTACCCAGTCCGTCCATGAACCCATATACCTATAATACGATAAGTTAACTTTAAGTTTTATTCAAATAAGAACGATAATGGAAACAATGCATCAAATGTTTGTGCATGTATCTTTGTATTTCAGTGATCAATAGTAAAATTTATCATTAAAATAATTGTGGTTTAATCATTTAAGTCCAACAGTTGAATTAGTTATGAGAGAGGCTATGCTCCGGCTGAAGCACAAGTAAATAAATAAACATATTGCTAGTTATCCGTACTATTTTAAAACGCCGAATTAACAACATTGGCGATCTCCGAATTAAATATTATCATACACGGAGCCGCAGACACATATTTTAGTACATTGGAGTTTATCTCGATAATTCTGAAATCTCTAAAAATCAAATTTAGTATTGGATTTATTGTCAGAATGTTGAAAATGGCCTTCACTTAATTAAATGTTAAACGTCGTCCATTTCATAGTTAATTTGTTGGCAGTTTTTATATTATTTTTAAATGATCACTCATATTTTCAATCACAAACAATATGGAATGCAAAGCAATAGGACTAAGAGCTTTCCAAAATATAAAAATCTGAATTTATCGGCGATAAAAATGAAAACCTTTGAATTTCAAAGCATAGAAGAACATATTTATGTAAGTTATGTGAGAAACTAAATTAATGCAATGTATGATTTCTAGTGCACCAAAACTGCTGTATTTATATCTTAGTCCAGCCATCAAAGCCATTCAGCCAGCACGGCAATGGCTAGTCGACGTTGAGTTGGCGGAAGGATCCCTCAATGCCGAACAGGTCGGATGAAGTTTTGGGCTTGCCAGGCCTCTTGCTTTCATCCACCTTGTACTGTTCGTCCTCCTTCAGCCACTGCTTGCGTGCCTCGACTCTCTTCAGCCAGTGACCTGTAGAAGAACGTTATATTATCTTTATTTCATGCATGAATTTTTATCCTATCTGAAGTATCGATAGTCTGCAGCATCGACACAATAAAACAAATCGACAGTTACAAATTATCTGCAGTTGATATAAAAAATATAGTACTAATAACTGTTATTAGGGGATATATTTTTATATATTAGGGGATATACTTGTTATTAGGGGAGATCAAAAAAATATAACTCAGTACTCACTGCAGCGAGTGACAGAGAGCGCATTTTCTCGTCGACGAAAACTTGAAGTCATGGACGGACAGACGGACAGACAGACAGACGGACGGACATGAATAGCACAATAGCGTCTTTTTTTCCATTAATGCGTTAAAAAGAAGAATTTGAAATTGTGAAATAGAAGCGCCTTGACTACAGTCTCTGAGCGCCACCCTTTGACATCCTATACCAAATTGAGCTCTTCATATAACATTCTAAAGATATTTTATTCGTATTCATTCATGTGTCTCATGTGAGAACCAAAAGACCAAGCTTTGAGCATACAGTGTACTTCGCATCAAAACGCTGCCACTAGGTAATTACGTCATCTTCTCAAGGCCGTTAATACCGTTCATTTGAGAAATTTTTCACCTTGTATTCAATAAAAAAATATAACTCAGTACTCAGTACTCACTGCAGTGAGTGACAGAGAGCGCATTTTCTCGTCGACGAAAACTTGAGTTCACGGACGAAAAGACGGACAGATAGACAGACAGACGGACATGGCGAGCACAATAGTGCATTTTTTCCATAAATGAGAAAATGAGCTAAAAAGAAAACAGGTGACACTGACCGCTTCTTTTGAAGTTGGGAACCTTTTCCAAACCCGCGATTAGTCCAAACTTCACGAGTTGGTTCAGCAAAATAGGTTTTTTATAGTGGACATCTTTTCACTACAATGCAATGATATTTTCCACGATATGTTCTGAATAAGACAATAATAGCGCACAATACTTACGAGTTATGTCCTCTACGGTGCCGTTGGTCCCGCCGTATTCTTTAGGCAGCAGCGAAGGCGGGATATGCTTGTGCAAGCTACTCAGATCGCTGCCGTGGATGTGAATCTGTATGTAAAAATTATATTTATTGAAACAATAAAGCCGTTCGGCCATCAGCAATAACAAAAAATATGAATTTACGGCAACAAAACTTTTCAAGACGTGCAACGACAACCACGTGTAGAGATCTTAAAGTAAAAATTAATGTTTTGAAATTTGCAAAACGAGTGAAGATTATGTCGGATATTTGTGTTGTGAAACGTCCCGAACAAGAAAAAATATAAATTAAATTTAATGAGGATCCGTAAAAACAGAAGTGCACTGGCTGCTGCAAAAACAATGTTGAACCAAACCAACTTATTTCCCTTTAGCAAATAAATTTGCGGAGGTAAAAAAAATATACTGGCAACTGTATCAACAATCGAAAAAATATGATCTAAAATCAGAAAATAATACAACGGGATGAACAACTAAACAAATGAAGGTAGCGGATGCCATTAGGAAAAAATTTGGAGCCCCAAACAATACAGCTTCTGACACTAAAAAAATTCTGAAGATATGCAGCCCGAAAATGTACTAAGGCTTGCAGGCAAGATATGTAAAGTGGTATTTAAAAAATCGTTTCATGAAATAATTCATACATTTTTTATGCGTCTATGAGTTTTCATTTGCATTTCTGTTACTCGGTACGTGGGAGAAAAATACATCCGCCAAACAATGTGAATTGAATAAATAATTACCACGTTTTTCTTAGCTCGCTTTCGTGTCTGTGATGATCAAATCTTGCAATACTTAATTTCAATTTTGAATTCAACCACTATTTCTAATTATATCAGCAATACACTTATCAAATGTTCAATGAACCATCATATTCATCATATCAAGTAATCACCAAACAATTAAATACATATGCGCCCCACATTTTTCGTTTTAGATGTTGTAAAATATTTTAACTGAAATACAAAAGACCAAGAGAATGAAAGCAAACAGAGATCAGTAGCTGCCGAAAAATTATTTTCTACTTATGAGTCCACATGAAAAACGTGGTCTTTAAAAATTTTTTTTATACATTTTATTAGATGTAATTCTCAATATCTTGTGCGTAAAGAAGTTACCGTCCGAAATATTTTTTGTCGTCTTTATTTGTAAGTTTTATCGATGTTTTCAGGTGGAAAAAAAATATTTGTTCTAAAAACATTCCTTCTCTTAAAAAAACTTATAAAACTAATGGATCAAACAAAGGAATCGACCTCCTAATTTCAACCGCAGGCGGAGAAATTAATGAACCTATATTCGAGAGTATCACCCGCTCCTTCCTATTCTCCTTCACGAAAGACGTACCTCCTATAACACAGTGACATATCCCTTTCTCTATTTTATCATTCATGAAGGAATTCATAAGTTCCTAAATTTTTGCATCTTCTCCTTCATGAAAGACATCATATTTTACACAGTCTTACCCTCTTCTTCCTCTTCTCCTTCATGAAAGACTTCCTATAATGTAACGACTCGCTCGCCCTCTTCTCCATCTTCTCCTTGATGAAAGACTTCCTATACTATAGCATTGACTCACCCTCTTCTCCATCTTCTCCTTACCTCTTCTTCATCTTCTCCTTCATGAAAGACTTCCTATACTATAGCAATGACTCACCCTCTTCTTCATCTTCCCCTTCGTGAAAGACTTCCTATATTGCAATGACTCACCCTCTGCTTCATCTTCTCCTTCATGAAAGACTTCCTATACTATAGCAATGACTCACCCTCTGCTTCATCTTCTCCTTCATGAAAGAATTCCTATACTATAGCAATGACTCACCCTCTTCTTCATCTTCTCCTTCATGAAAGACTTGAAGATGTTGAACACGGTGTCGAATGCTGCAGGAGTGTTGATGTAGTGCAGGGCCTTCGGACGCATCGGGTAGCCATCCTACGGAAAACAGCCAAAATTTTGCAATATATTACAAAACAAAATATTAAATTCAGCCAGTATTTTACAATATTTTATAGTGCACAATATTACAATACAATATTACAATTTGTTTTACAACATTTTACAATTCACAATATAGCAATTAAGCCTGTTTTTTACAATATTTTATAATACACAATATAACAATACAAATTTATAGACACAGTTCTAAAAATTAAGTGCTCCATGTTACTTCATTTTTAAATAATGCAACTTTTCGAACGAAATGTCACCATTTTTTGTGAAACTACTCTAATTTTGAAGTGGTAAAATTAACTTCATTATGACATGCAAACAATTTTAAAATGGCGATCATTACAATGAAATTATTCAAATAATATTATGATTTATTTTTCAATATCTATCAATTAGGAATTAATATATCAAAATTATATTAGAGATCAACTTATGTATACTTAAATTTAATCATATAATAGAGAGCTTTCTATTCGCTCATTAATTTTTTCCTATTTTGTACCACATAGCGCATTGAAAGCAGATATTCTGAGCTGCAGATACTCGTGGCCATTTTAGCCAAGTTTTAAAGTCTATAAAATTCATTTCACTTAATCTCATGCTCGCTAAAGACCCTAAACTGGATTATAAAATTGAGCTTAAGATCTAAAACGAATTAAAAGAAGTGCTGAACAAAAACTTTATCATATTTGTGATCCGAGAACCAGCATCTGCATTACCGCTTTTCTATATAGACTATTTCAGAATTCTACCTATGCACTATATAGAGCCTAGCACCAACATAGGCACTAGCTTCTGAAGACTTGAAACTGCTTTACTATACGCACGAGCGACAAGGCTCGGCATTCTCACCAAATCTGAACGCGCACATCATTGCTAACGCAAAATAATAATTATTTCACGGTATGCAAGTGGTGATTAACAATATGAAAGCCTCCAATGTTTGTCAAATTAGAGATGAACTTCATCCATTATTGAAATAATTAACCATCATATGCGAGTGAAGTAGCATGAAGTTGTCATGTGAAGAACAACATGTTTGCGAGAGATGTAAATATTCATCTCTAAAAAATAAGATACGAGCTGAGACAATTATTAAAATAAAAAAATACGAGCTCAAATAAGATAAGAGATCAGACAATTCATTCAGTATAAGGAAAATAAACACAAAACTGTCTCAAAAATTACGTGGCAAAATACCGCCAGATTAAAATTTGTAAAAACGTTACCTGGATAATGGTGGACATTTTCTTAATAATGGGCGCGGTCATCTGCGCGACATGCGCGAAAGTGAGCCCTTGTACGTCAATGACCATATTGACCACGACCACCGAGACCAAGTCATCCTCCTCGAGCAGCACGTCTAATACGGTATACATGCACCGCGTCATGTCCCCCACGGACGAGTTACTGGGATCACGGAGACCCGGCCGACCGATCATGATCCGGGCCCCGTTCGGGGCCAAAGTCCCGGGCAAGGTAGGCACCAAAACCCTGATTGTCCCATGTTTGGTTTAAATTAAACCCTACGATTTTCCTACGCAGTCAATTCTCATCCTTCCATTGCGTTCTTTCGCATCATTTCAGAATCATACATTCGTTATTCATCGAAGTGGCTTACAATCTTTTGCTTCAAAATTGGTTCATAGAATCTGATTTGCATTAGATTTCGGTTAATTACCTTGAGAAGTATTACTCTAATTTTCATCTGATACTCGTATTCTCATAATTATGTTGTTTTTCAACATTTTTTAAATACTGGCGAGTTTTTTCGTGAATCAAAGTAAAACTTCAACAATAGTGTTAGAGGAAAGCGTTGCTATACATAACTAATCGGAGCTCTGTTAATGATTCTCAATAATTTTTTTGAAAATTCTATGCATACTCACAATAAATTATAAATCTTAAAATTTAATGAAAACTGAGCTTTTTCGACACCGTTTAAATCTTCCGTTCCAAAATAAATGAGGAAAATTAATCTTGGAGAATTTTAAAATAAACGCATAAAATAATTTTTAAAATGCTAACAAGAAAATGATTGCGGATGGAATAACAGCTCAACAAGAAACTCAAAAAAAACGGAAAGATGAGATTAAACAAGAGAAAATGATCAATTTATAGAGTAATGCCAAAGAAGACGTACTGAAACTGGAAATCTAAAGTAAACTGTACTCTCCAAATTACCTCCATAAAAACCGATTTTCTAAAACAATTCAACACCTTGAATGACATTTTACCTGATATTTAGTTGCCTAATGTGAAATTATTGCGATACATTGCGGAAGCTCATCTCTGAACTTACAAGTGCACCACAAACCCTTCAGCAACTTGTGAAGTATATTAGAAAAAATATAACTCAGTACTCACTGCAGTGAGTGACAGAGAGCGCATTTTCTCGTCGACGAAAACGTGAAGTCACGGACGGACAGACGGACGGGCAGACGGACATGGCGAGCACAATAGTGCATATTTTCCATAAATGAGAAAATGCACTAAAAATGATTATCCCAAAATTACGCTATTCAGAAAGATTCCATTTCTTAACTGAAAATGCGACTTAAATTGAGTTCACTCATTAATCCAAGCCGAAACTCAAAGAATGAAGTCAGCAAACGGAATTCAGCAAATATTAAAGTAAATAATACAATAAATTAGACAAATTAGACAAATTCTCGACTTTCATTGAGCTCGTTCGTGCCATCGTTTCTTGTAAATGTTTCAGCGTCGAAATAGTTTCAAAATCAAAATCGGTTGGCCATCTACTTATGGCAGAGAGAATTTCATTCAGGAACGTACTGCGAATGAATCATTACAGATCGGTACGAAGTGGCATCTCTATCGGCGTGTTCTCCGCTCCTAAACAGCCGGCGCCCGAGGCAGGAATAATGAGCGTCACGCGCTTGTCGCACTTTTTTCCATAGTTGACGCTTAAATGAATGAGAACGACACACACACTCTACTAAAGGAACAAGTATTTTAACAAACAAATTGCCATTCTCCCATGCTTTATTTCTATATTAAAGAAGGTCTTGCATATCTAAAAAAACTATATAAAAACAAACTGGTCAATAATGTTTCCAAGAGAACGGAAATGTTCATCAAATTTCAAGCGCTGTCACCATGCACTTTCGTTCCGAATATTATTAAAGAATGCCATATATAATTGGTCGAATTACCACACACGTGCAACGCAGCCTCTAATATATTTCCAGAATTCTTGGGGACTACTGAGTAGGAAGGTTTTACTATGGCGAGCAGTAAAGCAAAAAGTAATATGGTGAGCAGTGAAGCTAAGAACCTGGGCTCACCCTGTCCCTTCTGATGATACTACCAAGTGACTGCGGACTGAACGGTAGACAACTCAAACGAACGGTTAACTGCTGAGAGTATCGCTTGTGTTTTGCGAGCAAGCAGCTATTGAGTCATTTCCAGCTTATTTTTTTAAGAGTGCACAGCTAAATATATGGCCCCCGTGACGACCATAACAACTAATGAGCAAGAGCAGGAGGCGTTTTTGGGCATATTTATCATGCGGATGACAGACCTTCAAGATCGCAGTCCTCGTCCTTTCTCTGAGGCTGCAAAACGCCAATTTTTTTGTCGCTGTTCTGATGTTCGAGGCTCGGTCGTCTCAGAACGACGGTGTCATAAATTTGTTAAATGTTTCGTTAGAATTCGTTTTAAGCAAGCATATCAATTAATCTACATTAATACCCAGTTTGGAATTCTCGATGCGACCTAAGGCTGTCCTGCGCATGCTTACTCATTGGAACGTCGATTTCAGCCGCAAGTGCCATAGTAAAATAACATAACCCAGGAGTCTCATAAACCTCGCCATGCACGTAATATATCGTCAACGTTACCAGCAGGGTTAATTAACGGCGTTAATTTTTAAAATTACCCTCGCAGCGTAGTGATGTAACTCTCGGAAAAGGCAAAATCAACGGAAAGAAGTTGGCACTCCAGTTACGAGGATTATTGACAATTAACATATACTGGTGATGAGACACCCCACACTAGTTCAAATTTCATGTTTAAAACATAGAAATTAAAAGTATCAAGCAGAAATTTCGGTACTGCGATTCCACTGCTCTATTTGTACCTGCATGAAAATGGCTGCCTTCATGGCGATAGTTGGTGTAAAAGCTGCCATGTGCGCTAACGTAGACCCTGCAGAGTCGTTGACTAAGACAATGCCTTTGATCGTCACTGACTCGTCTTCATATTCAAGTACATCGACGACTGTGGTGGCAAGACGCATGATATCGCTCATTGGGAAGCGATGCGGGTCAAATATTCCGAACCTTCCTAAAAGGATGGTCACGCCATCAGCAGTCTTCTGGGGCAGAGGCACGAATACGCTGCGGAGAAACGACCCTATTATGTCACCCTCCTTATTCAGTTGGTTATAACTCAGTATAAATGAAGCCTCACTATTTCATAAATAGAACCAACCTACTAAAGAACAAAACAATCGCTAAAAGCAATATCAAAGGGAAAAGATGCTCCCATAATCCAAAATCGAATGGTTATTAAGAGGAAAAAAACGCAAAAAACGCTAACACCATGAAAAGCCGGAGACAGATAAAGAAGGGACCACAATAAAAGTGCACTCCAGTTTCCTCGAATGTCCCTAAATTTCTTCTACTTTATTGTTGTGGCGTTAATAAAGCCTTCAAGTTCTGAATAAAATCAGCACTAAGCAATCATTGAAACGAGGACCGTAACAAAGAGGAGAGTAAAAAAGAACAAAAAGAAATTGAAGAAATTAGTTGGGCAGAATTGGTTGTAAATGTAAAGGCATAGATTGAGAAGTTAAACTGCATACAAAATCCTTGATTTCTTCCGGGCAATCTCATTCTTCCTCATTCTACCCAAAAATGTTGACGGTTTTTTTAATGTAATCTAGCTATATGTATCTACAGTATATTCAAAGTTCATACTAGACAGGCAACGACAATTTCGTAGCGCAAATCAATTTTGCACTATTATTATTATTCATTGAACTACTATTATATTTTACTAAATTCGTATAAAACAAATAATTTACGACAATCTTATACGGATTATCATTTGTACAAATTTTTGGGCAAATCATTTGCCCAAGTGACGACCGTTCAAAATTCTACAATGAACTTTGACAATGAAACATCAGGATTAAATTGCAAGTCTAGCCCTGCAAATGAAGCCTCTTTCATCTACTTATTTCCTCGAACCTCTTTCAATTGAGCCTTATGATGCTAGGTCAATAACGACCCAAAGAAAAAAGTCTAATCAGGCACCATCGGATCAGGCAAAAAACTAAATGACAGACACATGGTTGTGCTCGTTTCTAAACTATCCTTATGAGGCCAGCAACCGGCATGACGTCATGCCTAGGTTACAAAACGTTATGCCGTTATTGCATGGTGTTATACTCAGGTGGCATGACGTACGGCATTAGCTACATAACGTTTTGCATTGCATTTATGTCATGGTTGCATGACGTTATGTCCTGGTTAAATGTCATTATGCTTTGGTTGTAACGTTATGCTTTGGTTGCATTGCAATATGACTAGGTTACATGACGTTAGCCATGCCCTGAGGACATGACGTAATGCCTTGGCTCAATTACTTTATGCTGTGGTTGCATGCCGTTATGCCGTGATTGTACAACAACGGGGCTTAAACCCCATCATTAACTTCATTTCGAACCTCTTTTTTTCAGCCACACATAGAAGCGAACGCTTGTGTTCTCATAATAATATTAGCCCCGTTATATCGTGATCTTCGTATCAAGCGATATTTTTTTACAGACATTGAATGATGTTAATAAAAATGAGATGATCATGTCAAAAATTAGTGGTCGTTTTTTAGGAAGCGCAACTCAGCGCTTCCTAGGCCTCTCCTTGACCGATGCAAATATAAATAATGTATCCACAATCTCAATGTGTATAAGGAATTAATTAAGACATCAATTTAAATAGCCGCATATATGAATATAAATAATAAAGCTTCAAAGGCAACATGCCCTACCTGCCATAAAATCTTGTGCAGATTTCAGATGCATTAATTATTTTATGTTTGAATAAAATACAGCTGCCGCAAAACATTATTTCCGATGTCAAAAGCTGCTCATATAAACGTAAATTTACTACCATAAAAAGTTAGACGGCAATTGCTACATTAGGAGGATCTGGATTTCAACACCACCGCACGAAATGTGAATTAATATCTTTAGATTGAGACGCCATATTTAATGCACTGTCGCAATATCTTTGCTTCAGACGCGTAAATTACTCCTTTCAGATTGAGTAGACGCCCCTGCCACATGAGCATGCCTTCTAATTACAGCGCCGCCTTTAGACGCATAAGTTACGCCACCTAGGTTAAAGAGGCGCCCCTACCACACGACTACGTTCTCTGCTTCAAACGCCCTCTCTAGAAACGTAATTTATGCCACCTAGATTAAGGAGACGCGCCTGACACACGACTACGTTCTCTGCTTCAAACGC